CAACTGTGGTTAAGACAGGGGGCACTGGGTGGGATGGATGCTTGGGCAAACCCAACCCCTCCCCAGAGAAAAGCTCACAAGAAATGTGCAGATCTATGGGAAGGACACTAAAAGCATCCAAAAAAGCAAGCCTAATAGATGGGGAAAAATACTACCCACCTTGGAAAACATCCTGTTAAAATGGCAATGCCTTTCATAAATTTATAGTCATTGTCATCGCAAACAAGGCCCCCAAAAAGATTTTCAAGAAACTTGATTGAAAAATTCACATGAAACGCCCTGGCCAGTGTGGCTCAGCTGGTTGGAGAGTCCTCCCGTTCACCAGAAGAGTTTGGGTTCGATTCCCGGTCAGGGCACATACCCAGGCTGCGGGCACTCCCTCCCTGGTCAGGTGCACACGAGAAGGCAACTGATCAATGTCCCCTCGCCCTCTCCCCGCCCTCTTCCCCTTTCTAAAAGCAATGAAAAAAAAATGTCCTCAGGTAAGGTTAAAAAAAATTTCATGAGACAAAATGTAGAATCATCACAACAATCTTGAAAAATAAGGACAAGAAGTTAAAAACATAACATAAACCCATAGTAATTAGAGTAATAGATATTCAACAAAAAGACTGAGAAGCAGCACCACATATACGAGACTTCAGTGCACATCAAAATATCTTGGGGGGCAGAGAAAAGACAAAGCTGTACGTGGGGAAAAGAAAGCAAAGTCAGATTCCTACCACGTCACTGCAAAAGTTTCAGGTGGATTACAGATTAAAAACTAGAGGGTAATATAAATAAAATATATTTGAAACTTTGGCATAGGGGAAGGCACTTAAAATACAAAACACGGACATTTTAGACGAAACTGACGGCTAACCTGGCCGCGGCCCCATCACCCGAACAGCAGCCGCGAGAGGACGGGCAGCAGAACAGAGACCGTGCTGCCCGTCTGTGAACAGAGCCGGTCACGACGGGCACGCGGAGACACGCACACGCAGCTGTCTTCATCCAGCCCCAGAGCGTGGCAAGGTCAGCGTTCATTCGTAAGACAGTGCACACAGTGCGGTCTGTTCACACCACAGAACACTACTCAGCAGTCAAAAGTGATTACTGAGAACGGGAACGTGCTTCTCAAAATCCTGATGTTGAACAAGAAGCCAGACACAAAGACCATATACTGCATGATCCCAAAGGATTCACAAAAACTAATTCATGGCAGAAAAATATCAGAATAGAAATGGCCTCTGGGGGTGGGGAAAAGGAGCATGAGAAACTTTCTGGAATGATGATAACCAGGCTTTGGGTGACAGCTGTATCCTTGGTGAAAGCTTAGCAAATGCACACTTAAGATCTGTATGCTTTATTTGATGTAATTTCACCTCAAAAATGAAAAAAATTAATGAAAAACTCTAAATTACATACATGTGAAGTATTCAGAGAAAGGGTGCCGACTACAATTCACTTGGAGACGCATCGCAGTGAGTGGGTGGACAGACAGACGGCTGGCACGAGCTAAGGCGGGCGCAACGAAGCGAAGGTGGTAGGTAGTCCAGGCAATGATGGGTGCGTGCTGCTCTCTGTAAAGCTCCTTTAACTTTCTACATGTTTGCAGATCTTCATAAGATGTTGAAGAAAATGATGAGCAACAGAGTGAAGGAGAAGTATTTCAAACATGTGAGACATTTTTACTTGGAACATATGAAGAGCTAGTTATCGATAGGGAAAATGAAAAACCCAGCTAAGTATGGGTGAAACCTCTGTAAAACACACACACACACACACACACACGCTGCAAAGTCTGGAAAAATTCACTCTCCCGCCTTGGACTGGAAGTAGATGGGAGCCAGAACAACTTGATGGAAATAATGAATGTGCATATATGCACACACACACACACACACACACACACACACACACACACACACATATCAACAAGACCGGATTCATGCCCTGCTTTAAAATCAACCTCGGCCATGGTCTCTAACCTTTCCGGCATGTAGTTCAGTGAGTAAAAATGTAAAGTTATGCAATTACTTATTTAGGATTTTGTAACTTATACCCCAAATCAGCCTCGAACTTCTGCATCCCTACCCTAGCCCACACCCGGTGTGCAGCACAGGCCTGACCCTTCAGTGGGCCCTCGTTGGCAGTTCCCAGGGTCGAGGCAGACGTTGCAGACAAGATCTTTCCCCTGGAGCCCAAGCAGACTTCCTGCCTTTTGGGTTTTCCTCCAGCTGTGAGCCAGGTGACCCGGCAGGGTCTGTACTGTCATCATTAATGAACACGGTTTGGAGCTGGCTTTCGACACCCCCCGTACCAGGCACTGAGTCCCACCTAAACACGTGAGGAGGCATTCTGCATGGTCTTGCCTGCCACTTCAAACCTCTGACGTGCGAGAACTTGCAAAACCTACATGCAGATGACAGACACACTCTGTAACTGGCAAAGGGTAAGTGTGGGCATGTACACATTCACACATAATTTCAGCTGTTCCACCACCATCCTGTGACACAAATCAAACAGCTCACCAAAACCAGTTGCAAGTTTTATTTATATAAAATTCATTAAGAACATAAAAGATTGAGTTTCTTAAAAAAATCTGCAGTTATTTACAGCAGTATTGCACAATAAAGTGGCAATTACCCTGTCAAAATTCATCAGTGCAAAACACAAGTGAGCCAGGGAAATTGCAATACAGACGCTACATACGCTGGGTCCTAGGAACACATGAGTGAGTGATGAATCAGTACACACACAGATCAGTGCTCTTTACACAGGAGTACCTGATGAGTCTGGGTCCAGTAACTCGTGGTCACAGGGCCTGGACATAGAACTTGGAAGAGCTTCTAACGTCTGGAACTGCCCAATACAAGTAGTCAAGTTACTTTGCTGGGAGGTTGAAGATGCTTCCTGCACGCCATGCTGTTGGAGTAGAACAGAAGCTACCCCAGCTGGTTTAGCATCATGTGTGAACACACCGCTTGCACACATGTGTATGTGAAGTGAACACACACAGGCACCAGGCTAAATCAGCAGGGATGACAAACCAACTCCACTGAACCATGAGAAAGTCTCTCTGAAACTTCCTTATCTTACCACCCACCCCAGGGGGGCCCCAACCTCTCTGGAAGCAGAAAAACATCAACCTGAAGAATCAGACCGATCACATGAGGGACCAAATGGTTCAGAGCTGGGGGGCCTGTACAATTAGCTCCTGAACACCACTGAGTCCACACCTCGAAGCACAAGAAGCCACACAGTGGTGGGGAAATGCAGCTGGCCAGTTGTCCACACAGGTTACTGGCGTGAGGGGTCCTCAAGTCGCTCTGGAGGCAGAGCAACCCCTCCCGCCTGCCACCTGCCCTTTGAATGCTGATCTGTCAGTATAAATTTTCAATGAAAAACGAATGTGTCCTAACTGCCAATAACACTTTTTTTTTTTAAAAGACAATGCTTGGAGTTAATAGAATTTGCTTCCATGAGAAGCTAGCTTGTTTTGGAACAAACAGAAAGTCACTGGGTGTTTCTTGGAGAACTTTGTAGCCGGCCAGATTTATGGTTTCTCATTGGTGTCTAAACATGAGCTTCATCAAAGGAGAGCAAACCTCAAGAATTTAAACCCATTTGACCAGAAATACCAGGAACCAAAGCTGGAGGGCCACCCTGGGGAGACCACGTGGCCTGCAGTGAGCTGACCAGCCACCACCTCCGAGTTAGAGCGGTTAACGGGCAGTGGGGCACGTCAGGGAGGTCAACGCTTTCCAGAACTTAAGACATTAAATAAGCAAGGAAATAAATAGACAATATTTCTACAAGTTACAGCACTATGGACCAGTAGGACACATTACACAGAAAAAGAATCTACAATATTTACAACCTTAATTCTAAAAAAGTTTAGTAAAAACAGTGATTTTTTTTTTGCTCATTTATGCTGTACAAAATTTTACAAGAAAGGTATAGGAAACACAATTGCACGCAGACGTTTGGCTCAGTTGACAAGTAAAATATGATTTCCTAGTCTGATAAACAGCCGGCGTATGTACAGTATTCAGAAGGGGAAACAGGGGGCTTGACTGGGTACGTTTTTTAAATCAGAAAGGATTTTCACCTCGTTTCTCCACAACCAAAAAAAAAATTCTTCATAAACTGCTATCTAGGCAGGAGTACAGGTAACTTGAAGAATCACTCATGAAATTATTTGGGGTGTGTTTATTGCATTTCTGTGATAACCACAGGACACTTTCTACAAACCTCGTATGAGAAGAGGTGGTCAAGGCACAAAACCCGCATTTCATAAGTTTTCAAAAAGGGAGCTAGTTATTTTTTCTACAAAAAAAATGAAAGAAATAAAAAACAAAAAGAAAAAGGTATACCATCGTAGGTATACTTTCTGCAGGAGGCATCTTGATAAACAGATACATACAGTACAGAGACATCCAATCATCTCTCCAGTCCTGGTGCAACTTCCTGTTCACAACACTACTTACTACGAGTCACAGAATCTTACTTCCCCACAAGCTGCGTCCATGGCCCACTGCCAAGCCGGAGGGCAGCCGGCGCCAGCAGCAAACCCTCAGCACCGGGCTTCATCCTGTGCTCCCAGAAACAGGGTAAAGTGCTCCAGTCACAGAGACTGGCACATGAGCACATGAGTACGGAGGTCCTGGGAGGGGATGGGCCCAGAACCAAACGTGTCTTTGGTGTACACTTCCGGCGGGCCCACGGCCGCAGCCCGACCACCACCTCACAACCATGTGGCCTTGAGGACCCAGAAAGGGGGTTCCAGAACACAAGCTGAGACTCAACACAGTTTTAAAAATATTCAAGACCCCAAGAAGGTATTTGGGGGAAAATTTTTTTTTAAAAAAGAAAGACTATTTGGAATCAAATACCTTTACCTAAAGGAAGAAATGTATACGCAAAAAATATATATATACACACACATATATACATATATGTATACATATATATTTATACAAAACTATGAAGACACATATGAATGGATTTCTATATGAATGGATTTCTTCACTCAACTCAATAACGTGAACACTGGTCCTGGATGGGCCAGAAGCAAATACATTGGTTGTTGGCACTGCTGACTCATTTGAAAAATCATGTATCTCTTTTAAAAAGCTGTTTCCTGATCTGAGGTTTCAGAAACTGTAGGAGTTACAGGGTTCACAGAATGATCTGCACCTTCCTTCCTCCCCTCCCTGACTCCTTTTGTTCCCTCCCTCCCTTCCCTGCCTTCTCCCCAGTTGGTTAACTGTCTGTCAAATGACTGACCAGCTCGTGGGCCCAACTCACTGCACTCCTCACAGACCAGGGTGGAGAAGAACTGGATGCACAGAGGGAGGCCTCACTAACCCAACTGTCCCAAGAGAAATGAACAAGTAGACAGCTGCCAGATGGGGCCGTTTCAGACTTATGCCTGAGAGAATCTTTGATGGCACTGCCCAAAGCAGAATTAAGCCTGTATTTCAAAGTGGATGTAGAAGAGCGGGAACCAAGTGGTGGGCATCAAAAGTCAGATCGACTGAGTTGGATCAAAAGCTGATATGCCGAGGAAACAGCTGTTTAAAGCCCCGTCCACAGCCTGTGCCAACTCCCACAAGGACTCCACTTTGGACACCTGCAGCCAAACGCAGGTGGGCATGTCAGCACCTGGCACCTCATGCTGAGAGCACCTCCTGTGACGAGGGGAAAAGCCTGCAACCAGAAAAGCTAACCGTGCCACGGGCCCTAATACTGTTTCTGTATTATTACCATCACTACCCCTTCAGAACACTTGTAAAACACAAGTCCACCAAACCACATGGGAACCAGCTCCACGTCACTTCCCAGTGAGTAAGCTGCCAGCAGACCGACCGAGCCGGGGATGACACAGGCCGATGCGAGATCAGGGCGTGAGCATCCGTCAGGATAGTGTCACACTCTACCATGAACACGCACCTGACCAGACCTGTGCATCAGTGCCCAAGACAGACGGGAGGAGCATCACAAAATGAGATAAGGAAAAACACACAGGAAGAGGCTGAGGTTTTGCCAGATGAACTGAGTTTAAGGAGGTAAGTAAATATTTACAAAATGGGAGTGGCACATCAATACAGGCTGACAGAAGACTCTTTGCCCCTTTAATCATTTTCATTTTCTAAGAATTTTTTTTGGTAATAATGATTAAAAAAAGGTGAGAGGCAATGGCAGGGAGGGAGCGGCCATATCACACACACCTCTCACGTTTAAAAATTCTGTACAGTAGCCTCTAAAAATAAACTAAGGCAGCTTTAGAAATTAGCTGGCTCAGTTTCCACTGCAGAGTTTACATAATCCTCTGAGAATAGGCAACAGGTTCTTAAATTGTTAGTACAAAAATCATTCACAAGTTGGTTAAAAATTTCCATTTCCTTTTTGAGAAACTGTTCTTACATTATTCTCGCATAAAATCCTGCTCCAGAGAACCATGATTTGTACATTTCCTAAAAAAGAGAATCCATCTTCATTTACATTCACGACCAGGTCAAGCCCGCACACAGCTCCGAGTGTCGGGACGCGCCGGCCTCTCCGGGGGACGACAGCTGGCGGCACAGCAATGGCACCAGGAGGCCGCGGCGCCGGGCCTGTCGGCTTGAACAAGTGAAACGTCTGCACGCGTCTCGGCCCCTCGGGGAGCCCGTCGTCACTGCATCCTCCACACCAGACGGAGGATGTAACGCAGCAGCCGCAGGACAACCATCTGGGGATGGGCTTCTGCTGCTTGGTAATTATTCAAAAAGACCTGAAACAACAAAATAAAAGCTTCTTATTTTCTCAGCCCTCATAGAACCACCAATCCCATCTCAAAAGCTACGGAAGGCAGCCGGTAATGCGCACAGTGCCCCTGGGATGGCCAAAGGGGGGGCCTTCCCGCTTCCCCTGCAGAAAAACACTTCACTCCACAGAGCACAGTCACACAAAATGACCTTCCAAGAAAAATAAAGCAACCCAAAGCATGTTTGGAGAAGTCGTAGAGAATCAATCCTGGCATCTCTCTGAGCCCCTCTACAAACTACATGCTCTCGTCACAGGTGACGCCATCACTGGCCAGACCTGCCTTAGTCAGGAACGCGATGGTCGTCGGAAGGGAGCACCTCACCTCCATGCTGGAGAAAGGCCACCAGGGCCACTGGAGCTGGGGTCCCGAGAAGAGGTAAGAAGGTGCGGGGGAGAGAAGAGAGAATGAACTTGATGGATGTGAAGTAGCTTGCAGCCAAAGTTACCAACACGCAAGTATGTTTCAGACTCCTCCAGGGGTGAATTTCTGGTGGCTGTAATTTACTTGAGAAACCAATGATTTGGGGTAACATGTTCCGTGAAGCTCAATAAGCAGGTGGTTCCACCTGATTAACACTGTAGCCCAGCACTGTGCCCACATCACAGACACAAGCAAGTCCCCCCAACTCCAGCACCCCTCTGTGGGAAGCAGCAAATGAAAAATAAAAAAGGCCTCCCCACCAGTGACCCCCCCCCATGTTTACAACAAGCTGAGAAACTGTGCAGACGGAAGTTGCCAGATTACTGACAGGTCCCAGAGGCCTCAGGGCCCACTTTGAGTTCTAATCCACTTTGCAGGTACATTCAACTGTGTCCCCAGTCAGCCCTGCGAGCCACCCTCCTCAGTCCCTCAGCCAGGACCTGCACCTGAGACCAGTGCTCCGCTCTGCCCGTGGAGGCTGCTTACCAGCCATGAGCCAGGCTGAGGGCAGGGTCGCAAGACTGTTTCCACAAGCTCTCGAGCCCCGGTGGGATTGCACAGGACTGTGAAAAGGCCAAGGCCCTTCCTCTCTCCTTCCAGAACAGACTGGAGGAAATCAGCGCTCTGCCGGCGATCCCTGCAGAACACTCTGCAACCACAGTCCGTGATGTTATCTGGGTCGCACACCAGACTGCTTTGTTTTGATTTAATTTTCAAAATTACCTGGCTTCTTTCTATGTGAGAAGAATTTAGGGGAAGGTTAATTTTAGTTTAGATTAATATTAATAGGTTGGAAGAGGCTTATTCAAAATAAAACCACGACTTACTAAAATGAAGAAAGGGTGTGTAGTGCTGGGCTTGGCAATCACTTTAAGATGGGAAATCCCATGTCAACCAGGTGTCAATGCGGCCTCAGCAGAACCAGAGAATGGGGTAAGAGTGACACCAACCAGGAGCCCGATCACATCGGGGACTGACCCCAACTGCTCTCTTAGCTGATTTTATATCCCAGAACTGGCAGTGACTGAGAGGAGACACGTTCCACTCCCCCTCTGAGGACAGCAGGGGAAGACGGCGGCTGTGACTGTGGAGGAGAACACGTCACATCACAAGCGGGGTCTGCCCCGGTTTTAGAGTTCTGCTTTTTATCTCGAACGTAAAGGACAAGAAGGGGATTCGAAGACATGTGGAAGGGACCAATGCAGGGATCTGTGGCAGAAGGAACAGCTGAACACCTACCCAATTCCCAACACAGGAGAGGATGCTGTGGTGTCACGGTCAGCAAGGATGTGCCTGCCCTCCAGAACAACATGCGTGGCAACACAGCACCTGTTTTTAAGCCAGCAAACAATTGCTTTTGGATAATACTCAATGGAGAAAGACATTAGTCCTGATTCCAGGGGCCAGCAGCCCAGGCTTCCGCAGCCTAGCCGCCCTCCAACAGCTACGCTGTACGACCGGCTCACACACACCCTGGGCCTGACAGCACCAACACAGGGCAGATGGCACAAGAGCCAGGGCCATGCGAGGACGCCCAGCCACCAGTGCCATGCGGACCATGTGGCCTCACCAACACAAACTCGCACACTTCTGGTCACCAGGACTGTGAAAAAACACACTTCTGTTCTTTAAGGCCCAGGTGTGGCCCTTTGGTAGAACAGCCCAAGCTGACTCCCACATCCTCTACTTCCTGGTCCTTTGTGCTCAGTGACAAACAGCACCTCTGAAGTCAGAGTCATGTGACACAGTTTTAGTCTAAATCACGGGGGGGGGGGCGGGGAGGGCAAACACAAGGCCTGCGGGCTAAGTCAGGCCCTCCACCTTGTTCTATCCGGCCCAGCACCTTGTTTCTACCCGGTGGCAGGTAGAAAATTGTATTTGGCCCTTTGAAAGCAGCCACAAGGCTGATGTTAGCCCTGGTGAAAATGAGTTTGACACCCCTGGTCTACATCGTAAGAACACTTTAGTGCCCTGGCCGGGTCGGTCAGCTGGTTAGAGCGCCATCCCAGGCACCAAAAGGCTGCAGTTTCGCTCCCTGGTTGAGGCAATCCCTGGAGATGTTCCTCCCTCTCTCCCACTTCACAAAAAAACACAAAACCCACTTCAGGAAGATATACTACAATGACTAGCTAAAAGAACTAGAGGAGCTATTAAGTACAAATAATTTGTGTACTATAGTTCCTCCTGCAGCTCACACCTGCTCACAGTCACAGGTACCTGAAACTGTAGGGCCCCACCCCTGCTGGGGATTTGTCTGCATGGACTAGAGCAGGAACTGTATTCTTTGGGAAAACTGGCGTTACAGCCAACACCCATGTCTGCAAGGTGACTCCTTCAACGTCTAGCCTTGTGTCTCCCTCCAGGAACCCATTCCTGAAAGTCCACACTTCTCCCTGTAGGGGTGAAGGTTCCTGCAGCCCCAGGCCTGCCTGCATGGGAAGGGCGAGGCCTGGGCTCCAAATCTGAAGCACGTGCCTGCACCCACTAGGTCTGGGGGGCAGCTCCTGGGCACAGCCAGCCAGGGAGGGAGATACCCCTGCCTGAGCCGGTGGGGGGGGGGGGGTGTTGCACAGCCCCAATGGCCCACCCACAGCAGCCCAGAGCTCTGAGGATGGCCAACAGCATCGGCCACAATGGAGGACCACCTTCAACTTACATGCCCCACGTTATACCGGGGCACCTTGCACTTGTATTAGTTAATCAAGTACTAGGGAATGTAACTACACTTTAATGCCGAAATAATCACAGCAAAACATGCCCCCTTCCCCAGGGAAGGCGGTGTGTGAGAAACAGAGGCCCTGTCTCCAGGCTGTGCCTGGGGACTGGTGAAGTGGACCAGTTCTGTGCCCAGTGCGGCCTCGCTCTGCTGTGGAAAGATGAGCTGGCCTCCAAAAAGCTGCCGGACTCATCGGGCCACCAGACTCTGTGTGTCCCAGCTTGGGGACAAGAAGAGTTACCCACTGCCACCACTAAACAACTTGCCACACACCTTTCAGTCTTCACAACAACCCTGAGCCACTGTGGTAGCCTAGACCGAGCCTGACATGAGAGTTGAGAACCATGTGACCCCGACGACTCAGCTCTGACTGGAGCACAGCAGGAAAACAAGCCCACCAAGTCGTGCTCCGAAGGCAGGGCCAGTGGCTGAGCACCACGCACACGGCACTCAGCGTCACTCCAAGGGGCTCACCATAAAAACACACTGTGATAAACACTGGAGAGGCAGAAACGACATCAAGAAGAGACACTTGTCCTGGGAACCAGGGCTGAGATTTGCTGCGACACAGCTGCAGTTTCCTGACAGGCAAGGTGACAAGGGCATGCGAAACAATGTCCACCTGCATATCGAAGGGAGCTCAATACTAAATGCTAAGAGACAAACCAACAGCAAGGCACACCTACAGAAGAACTCTGAGACTCAGAGCAAATTTTTAACTTGCTCAAAAACTCCTTTCTTACCAGGTTTAAACATAATGCCCAAGATGCCCTAAACTTTTTTTTTAAATCGGTTATCGTTAAGTGGTGACGTCACAGAAGACTGAATTCTGGACTGGGAGGAAAGAGGGTGCTGACAGAGAGCGGCTCCAGTTCAGGCAGGTGAGGGTGCACAGTGCTGGCTTCTCCAGGGGCTGTCCTGGCACCTGCGGGACAGACAGCTGAGTGCTGTCATAATCAGAGATGACAAGGTGGGGAGGGGACAGAGTGGCCCTGAGGGAAGACCACCATCTCTTGCCCATCAGTCGAGAAGTATTTTAAGTGACAGGCAAACGAGACAGGTGGGAGGATGAACCCAGCGTGATGAGTGGAGATCTCTGGGCAGATCTGGTCTCTGTCCACCTTGAGACCAAGGACTGTCCTCACGCGGCACCTCAGCTGGAATGTTATGTGGCTGCACCTTGCACTGCTGTTTCCAGATGTCAGGGACATGCTGCTGCAAAGCTGCCCAAAGACCAAATTCACTTTCTACTTGTCACCCAGGCAACACAAGCATTTGCATAGCTTGAGCCCGATACGCTCTGCCGTCGGCACAGCTGTGGGCAGAGCACCAGGGAGCCCCCCCGCCAGATGCAGTGCTGCCACTTGGAAGCCAGCAGGGAGCTCGCCCAGGCACCTGCCAAACTCCGGAGACTACGGCTGACCTGCCTGGGCAGCGATGCAATGTTCAAACGTCACGGCAAAGCAACACCTGCACGAATGCCACTGTCCTACAACTGATGCATCACTTCCAAGACAATGTTAGAGTCATGGCCTTTAACAGGACAATTAATCACTCCTCTAGTTCACCTCAGTCAGGCCGGCCACGTAATGGGCTGTCCTCACACAACATGCATGTCCACCTGCAGTACTAAGTCACCGGCCCCCGACCCAGGGCCAGGCCGGCGGGAATAAAGCGCCCGCATCATCTGTGAGTGGCCAACGTGGGAGGGACGACCAGAGGGAGGGCAGAGACAGCACCTCCACATTCTGTGTGGGCGCCCTCACACGAAAGAGGAGATGCGGAGCGAGACACTGATCTGCACTGAAACGCCGCAGCCGCGGAAACA